CGGGCGCGACCTGTACCTGCAGCTTCGCCACGACCTGCGCTTCCTGTCCCGCGGCTTCGAGGTGGAGGAGGCGGGCGCGGCCGGGCGCCGCGGACGGCCCGCCGAGCTGTGCTTCTACTCGGGCCGCGTGCTCGGCCACCCGGGTTCCCTCGTCTCAATCAGCGCCTGCGGCGCCGGCGGCGGCCTGGTACTGCGCGCGCCCCCTCCGGGTCTGCCCGTCGATCTGTCGCGGCGCCGGGGGTGGTCCCCGGGGCAGGTTGGGCTGGGGGTGGCGGCGCCTGGGCGGGAAGTTCAGCCTCCAGGGGTGCTCTCCCGCCGTCCGCAGGGAACCTCCCCTCTTCCCGCCCCGACCTTCTAGAGGGTCTCTGAGCAAAGAGGGTGAGAGTGGAAGCATCTGATTGTCCAGTGCCTTCCCCCGGCTGTACCGAACCTCTGCAGTACACGGGGACTGTGCCGTTCCGGGGTTGCATAGGGGGATACGCAGCAGCCGCCCAGGGGAGCCCAGGTCCGGCGGGGGCGAAACCTGTCGGGCCCCTAGACCGAGAGGCGCACTTCACCCATATTTATTTGCACCTGCACAGCTGTGTATGTGTGCGTGTCACGGGGAACACCTATAGGTGTGTATCTCATCTGTTCTTGGCTGTGGGGGTAGCGTAGTGAGTGAGCATTCACTTCCCTTCTGTCCTCTCGAGTCTTTCTGTACCCGGAAAAGGACAGTTTGATGGGGTCCCCTGACAGGGCACTAACCTTCTCAGTTGAACCGTGAGAACCAAGAGAGGGGGTGTTCATACCCTTCTTCCCTTATACCACGAGCAGGTATGTGTCTGGCAGCCATGCTCAGCCAGGCCTGGGGGGTGCTTACATTGGTGATAAGACCCTGTTCCTGTCCCCAGAAGCTCCCTTGCTGGGGCAGTAGCTACCCCACCCCGGGGACCCTGCCCGGCTGCATTAGAAGCACCTGTAACAGCGCTCACAGGGGCAGGGGGCCGTTCTGGTGCACGTCTGCCCTGCTTGTGCTCACACTTGATCCCTGTACGTTGGTGCCCAGCCACATGCTTCTCAGCTTCTCCATCATGCCCCCTAGGAGCGCGCATGGCTGGCGGATGGGCTGCCCCTAACAAAGCCTGGTATCGGCTCAGAGCATGAGACGCCAGAGTTGTTTCTGTATTTTGTCCTGATTGGCCTCTGGGGAAGCGGTTTCTGATACTCTTTTGTGTCTGTTCTTCCCTGGCAGAAGAAAACTGCTTCCCCAACCTCTGCCTTATCTTGCTCCACCGTCTAGAATTCTCTAGCCCTTACCCACATAGTATGCAACTAGTCTTAGAGAATCTGCAGCAGATCCAGAGAGCCTGGGGGTCCAAGTCTTTATGTAAGACTTCTGCTTTCCTCCCAGCTCTGTAGAGGAACTCCGGGAGTGGGGGAGGGGGGGTAATTTCCTAGGATTGGCTTTCACTAGTTCTCCTTGTAGGCCGGTTCTGAGTCCTGATCAGACTGTGATCTACTGGGAGAAATTGGCGTCTTCGGTTAAACAAGGAAAATGGACCGTGGAGGCAGCCTGTTAGGAGCTAATGTGGAACAGGGGCAGAGAATGTGGGCTGCGGGTGAGGAGGCTTAAGGAGGAGTGAGAAGGGCTCAGATCACCGTAGGACTCGGGTCAAGGCTGTATCATGTTCTGGGAGGGACTGGAAGGCCCACATCATTTTTCCTGTTTTTGCCAAAGTGTTTAAAGTCTAGGTCACATCACTGTACTGTACGTGGAAACATCTGAATCCCATTTGCTGCGGTTTGGTGAGTTTCTCTAGAGGTCAGAGTTTATACTTCTCGGTGTAAAGTTTCCAGCGAGGAGCTATCTGTAAGGAGCTGAGGGTGGAAGTCTGGATAACATTGATTCCACATCCTCACCGAGTTGAACGCCGGGCCCTCTCACAGATGGCATCCGGGCTGTGAGCGGGGCGAGGGTTCACTTCAGTCCCCCGGTGTTCGAGAAGACTGTGCTTCCCTTCAGTACCATGTGGGGGCGCTGTGCTGTAGATAAAGGAACCCCGCCAAGAGTCTGTTCAGCGGGCGCCGGCTGCGGGCCGACCTGGAGGACTTGAGATTCTAAGATTCCTGCCGGAGCAGACACTTCTGGTGTTTAGTCTGCCGTGTTCATCCTGTTCATGTGAGCTAGCCGTCGGACCCTTCTTCCTAAGTGCCCTCTGCAGAGGAAGGGCCGAAGGCAGGAAGGAGGAGACCGCGTGGTGACTGGGAGGGGACCTCTTGGTTGCAAGGTAGCCCTGAGACATGTCAGGAAAGGAGAGCAGCAGGAGCTCAGGCTATAGCCAAGTTTGCAGGGCACTCCTACCTCACTTTGATTTTGGTTCTCAGACGTGCTCGAGACAGTTCAGGGGGTTGGTAATGTGTCAATCGCTGTTGACTGAGGTGGAAGCGCCGGGAAGCGGAATGGGGCAGGTGTGTTGTGTGTCAGGACAGGCTCAACCGCAAGGTGTGGGAGAGGACCGATAGCAACTAGGAGAGTTTTGATGTCCGCAGGCGGGAACATTCCCAAGCCACCTTGGATCTAAAGATCACGTAGAGCCCGGGGTTGGCAAACGTCTTCTGGAAAGGACCAGATAGTAAGCATTTTAGGCCTTGTGGGCCATATGGTCTCCGTCATGGTTAAGTCCACACTGTCCTTTTAGCCGTAGACAGTAAATAAACAGATGGACGTGGCTATATTCAATAAAACTTTATTCCGACGTTGAGTAGCAATTAAATCCTGATGCATCAAACATCTCCTGAAGGGTTTAGCGGAGAGTGTTTGGTGCAGGGGAATGCAGGCTCTGTTCCCTGTTGCATGGCGTCTCTGCGGTCTCCAGAGATGTTTGGTATCTGTTTAAAGCAGATGCATAATTAGAGTAGATCATTACTTGTTTATGGGGCATGAAGCGTAAATCTCATGTTCCATTTCGCCTCTTCTGCTTTTGACTGTGGGCAGAGGCGTGGGCCTGTGGTGTTCTCCCTCCCTTATCTTGGAAAAGTTATGCAAGCTGCACTTCTTGGCTCTTCTAGGTGCAAGTATTGTTTTCTGTTTATGCTTTTTCATTTTATTTACGTTTCAGGGAGTCCTTAGACATTACCTAAGTCTTTGGAAGAGTTTCTATAACCGTATAATTTCAAAGCAATGAACTTGGGGTATGTGAGGCAGGTATTTCCACCCCCAGAGAATTTATGCAAGTTTGGATCAGCTGCCTCCTGTGAATGGGGCCAGCTCATGGAAGGCCAGCAGAATTGGAATCAGGTTAAATTTCACCTGAGTGGGCAGCAGAGAGGGAACTTTAAGGGATAGAATGGATGTCAGTGTCTGAAAAAGTCTGAAATGAGTGAATTGAAGGGGCTGTTTTCCATCCCCACACATGAGGACAGAGAGCAGGGGAGGCCCCTGCCAGCAGGTTTGGTCGGCTGAGCAGTCGCCATTCTTCCTTAATGAATGTAAGGTCAGGAGGGTCCACCCACCTGACTCTGTCCCTCCCTTCTGGGCTGAGGCCGTGGCCTGCCCGGGGTGTGCAATGAGAGAAATGTTGAGATCCGACAGGGACTCGGGAGCTCTGGGCCATGGAACTTTAAGAAGCCATACCCATTTGCCAGGCCCAGAGAGAGAGAGAGAAGGTCAGGGATGTTCCTGGCATGCTTTCCCAGGAGTCACAGCTACACTCTGTGGGATCCTTGCTTGGAGTCTCTCTCATCCTGGTTGGCCCCTGGGGTTGACCTGATGGCCCAGCCGAACCTGGCTCTGGCTGGTCAGCTCAACTGAAGCACAGGGGGCCATTTTGGTAGCACATTATTTGTGGTCTACTCAGGAGCTTTGCGAGAAGGCTCATCTCTGTTCCATGGGGGTAGACTGATAGGAACAGAGTGGGGCTGGGCTTAGTCAGTGAGCAGGTGGCTTGGAAGAGTTTTGGGGGACTCCATAATCAAGAGGGCAGCCTGCTTTTTTTCCATGACTCCTCTGATGAAGGGGGCAGGTTTGGGAGGTTGCTGTCTCTTCCTTTAGGATTATCAAACTCTCTTTTGATTGATTATAAAATTGCCTAGCTTTTTGATACAGCATCCCTTGATTGCATATAGACAGAAATCCACTGCGGCAAAAATTGTACGGTACGGAGAACATTTGGAAGGGAGTACGTAGACCAAACTACGGCGTCCTACACCGTCATATTGGTACACGTGTGGCAAAGGCACAGAGTCCTATGAGAGTCATCCCTTAATATTACCGAAGAACTCCTCGTGTACAAAGTAAATGTATTTGGAAAATGCACACACATTTTTAAAGCCTCATAAAAAGAAACAGTTGAGTGGACATTAAGGACATTAGGGAAAATAGGGAAAAGACAGTGTGAAGTTTGGAGGCGTGGAGGATTTGAAGGGGAGAACTTGGATGGATGGGAGAATTCTGAGGTGTCACACCCCTTCCTCTCGAAGGACGTTCATGTGGCCTCACGGTGACTTTCTGCCCCCCCTCCCCGCCCCGCCCCGCTCATGGGCATCATGGCGGCCATGCGACTCTCCCCAGCGTCCCACCTACGGTCTGTAACTAGATTTCCGCATCTGAACTTTTATGTAGTTGGCAACATCATAAAAAAAGAAAAAAGTGCAAGATGGGATGATAAACCAAAGACGTCTTAGACTGATTGCATTCTTGGGGCTTATTTCCTGAGCTTTGAAATGCTGCAGCTGCCTGGGTTTGGACGCGTGCAACAGGGGATGGTTTTGCAGCCAGTATGTCAGAGGGAGCCACGCATGGTCACTGCTGATCCTTTCCCTGTGCACGCCTCTGCACGCAGATGCACGGTCACGTTCTCATTCTTTAGGAAATGAGGCTGCACGGGCGTTTGGGGCTGTGATCCTAAGTGAGCCATCTCCTCTGAATGGTCCTGTGTGCAGCCCCAGGAGGGGTAAATAATATCAGCCTCGTGAGGCTGTTGATAGAATGAAGTAAGATAAAGTCTGTGAAATCATTTAGGGCGAGCCTGGCACAATAAGGCATTAAAAACACGTTTCTTCTGTTGCCCTCCGGGGCCCAGACTTTTCCAGTTATAAATCAACCAATCAGTCAACACTGTCGACTAAATGAACAGATCATTATCACACACCTGCCCTGTGTAGGACACTCTGGTGGGTTCGCAGCAAGCCTCAAAGCGGAATACA